ATATGATCCAGTTGCTCAGGGTGCTACGGGATTCCTGCCTTGGTACCCACTACTTTGACGTGTTGGCTTTGATAACTTCCATCCTATTAATTTTAAGTGCCAGTAGTGTGGCTGCTGATGCAATATTTATGACAGATCCTGCGCTACAGAACAAAGTCTCCTTTTGAAGTGCAAAGCTGGTTTGTCTTTCTATTTTATGTCAGATTTCAAAATTACCTTTGGGCATTCTCTCTTGGAGTACTCTGCTGTAAACAAACTAAACATTGTTTTAGTAAAGACAATGGACTGAATTCCTCTTTTACAGAGGCAACTGCATTGAATTCAGTGACGCTGTGACTGATAAAAGAATCAGGCTCAATAAATATTTTGATAACAAAGCCTTTGAAATGTGTACACTGATGTGATGATGAACCCAAATCTCTGCAACCTTTCCAGCTCACCACTGGCTCTTGCATGGGGCTAGAAAGCGGGCTTGCAGCTTGGTAGTTAAGGAGTGATTTTTCATGATGCTGTTATGATTGAAAATAAGATGCAGGAGACAGCAGCCAGCCTCTGCTGCTTTGCAGCTGCTTGCTGGTAAAACCTTCCTTCTCATCCCTCCTCCCCCAGACAAGAAATAAAATGTGAAATGCAAACACTTCAATTTTGCTGTCTGATGCCTGCAATGGCACTGAATAAGCTTCTTTCAAAAGCACGCTGAGCTGACAGCTGAAGCCTGGGGTAGCTCGCTCAGTGAAGCAGGCTCATGTTGCTTGGTGGAGTCACTGGCCGGAGTTGAGGTTTCCAAAGTGGTCTGTGAAGCTCTAAGCAAAGCCAGAGAAAAATCAGCCCCATCAACAGAAGAAGAAACTCCCAAACAAACCATCCCGTGAAGCAGGCCTATTTTCAAATATGGGGAAAGATGACTGTATACTGCTAGCTTCGCATGCTGACAAGGCATAAATATATGCTGGTTCTCCACATTGTGGTAATGCAGCTTGATCTTTCTTGAGTGTCTCCATTATTCATGGATTTGACTAATGTGTACCACAGTTAGACACTCTCAATGTCACAGAACTAAGCCCTCAGAAAAAAGCAGAAGTTTTTGTTCCTCTGGTATTTAATCACCGAGGGTGCACTCTGGTATTTTGAAGTTTTTCAGCGATGAATGCCAAAAATTTGCTTAAGGGGAAAAAAAAATAATCCTTTAGTCCCATTTTTTGAGGTGCCAGGACAGGAACAAGATCGGATTTACCTCAAGGAGGGAAACTGAAGGTCTCCAGCATCTATGTTTCTTCTCCCCACCTCAGCCCCACACAATGTGGCACGTGCTGCTGGCTGCATAAGGGAACGCTTGCCCAGCCTTTCCAGTTGCCAAGCAGCTGTGCCCAGCTCCAGCAGCCCACCAAGAAGGGCAAGCCACGTGCGTGATTGAGGACCCTTGAGTCTGCAAGGACCGGCACGTGTGCATGATGTTCAATGCCTTGGGTCTTCCCATTGACTTCAACAAGGATTTCAAGTGCTGTGTGTGTCGTAACTGGTAACTCACATTCTCTCTTGCAGTTTGCAGCTATTAAAAACATGCAAAAATCTCCACTGACTAGAATACATAAGGTGGTATGTTTGCTTGTATTTGATAAACCATTTATAATATAGTGCATGAAATTCAGGGTTCCCTGACACTTTTGGGTGCGATGGTGCTACTTTTTCCATTACGATGAATGAATGTAAACATTCAAACAAAGCAGCAACTCAGATGAGCCTCTCTTTGTAAAAAATAATTTACGTTTGATTCGGACAGAACTGACATAATAAAGCATTTAGGAACTTTGGGGAAATCGGCCCTGTCTTTCTGTAGGATGAGCAGATACATAATTGGATTGTACCACTGCACTTTTTGTTAAAAGGAGGGTAATTTGGTGCATTGTTGAAGTCTCTTAAAGTATTCACTGAATAACCCTTCTGTCCTGACAGACGCGGATCTTACCCAGACACGCAGGCTCTATTGGCACTTCTGCTGTCCTGGCTGCGGGAACCTGCCACCTCTGTGCCCCGCTGCCAGCCTGCCGCAGGGGGATCGGGCTGCCCAGGGGTCCTGCCCGGTGCCCGCCCACGGGTCCACATCTGCGTAGCAGCGGTTCTCCAACTATGGCTTAGTCTGGGGATTTTTCATTTGGTTCCGTACAGCTTTTGCTTTGCATTTCTAAGGCTGGTTCACATGGAATCTTCTTGTTAGGTTGTATCAAGGAGTAAAAACCTCTTGTCCTAGCTCCCAGTGTCACACCAAAAAAAAGTACTTTCATATTGACATCGGTTGGCAAAAATGCGATGCACATGGACTATTAGATCAGTTACCACTTATTGGCAAATTTGCTGAGAATAGACATATGGGTAAACATCTTTAATTAACCAGGTCTGATTGCACTCTATACTGAGGCTATATTTTATTTTTTTTTCCTCTGATAGCTTTAAAATGCCCTGTAGTATTTACCATTAGTTTTACTTTTTTAACCTTGAATCCTTTTAAATATCTTTTCTTGTGTTTATTTTTAGTCCTCCTGTCACTCATTTATTATTCTAATGGCCTGCGTGTCTTTTCTCCTCAACTTACAGCTTTCATCTTTCCATTCCCTTGCCTTTATTTTTAAAGTCTTACCTGTTCTTAGCTAATGTTTAATATACTCAGAGCTTCCAAACGGTCTTTCTCCTTGCTTTGAGACATTGTACTGAGCATTGCAGCGTATGACCTGAAGCTCGATGTACTTCTATTGATTTCAGTTTAGTTTTGTTTTGGGGGGGGGGGGTGGGTTTTTTTAAGTTCTTAAAGGCACCAATCTTTCCCATAGTGTTTTTTTGGCAGTCTCTCCTGCTAAATTCCCGGCCCCGATATCTTTCTAGAGGCTAGTCGCACTGGCTGTGAAAACCTCCACCTGCAAGCAATAAAGACGTGAGACGTGAAGAAATAAGCCCTTTTTTGGCAGTAGAGGGAAGCAGAAGTGGGTTGATCCAGAGCCATCTGGCAGGGCACGTCCTCCTTGTACCAAGCCATTTCTCAGCGGCAGCGGTTGCCCTACGAGGGAAGCTCCTTCTGGAGGATGCAGGGCGGTGGGTCTGCAGCACCGCCGCAGCACATGGAGTCTCCCGCGGATGAGGAGAGGGATGCCGTGGGTGCCAGCCGGGCTCACGGGGTGCACGGCCCAGAGCCGGTGCTTGCCCTCAGGGTGGGAGCAGGGCTGGAGAGTGGGCTCTTTGTAGGCTGGGTCTTGGTCAAAACACCGCCAAATGTGGTTACATCTCTGCCGTGGTATTTGAAATTAGCTGTCATGTTTAACATGGCTGGTTTCCTCAAGTTAACACACTGGGTTATTGCCAGAGGAGGGAACATAATCACCTCCTTCTGTCTCAGGCTGGTGCTTTATTGTCTGAGTTACGTTGCTTCTCTGAGAAGAGGACTGGTGCAGAAGGCAGTCCTCTCCTCAGGAAGTGTTCGGCTGGATGCTCTAGGAGAGCCTGGATATCGCCCCTGAATACCTGAAATTTGCAAAATACTCTCCTTCGGTAGACTTATATGGTATTTCCCCTATTTCTTTTCACACGTGAAGCAAGGAAAATCTGCAAGAAATGCTCACTGGGGTGTAGAAACATCTGGTTGGAGAAGGTCCTTGTGGTCGTATTGATGAAGCGAGTGGCATCCTACCTGCAAGTACTCTTCTACCTCAGGTTTATTTGAAACACAGCATGGGCATAAAATGAAATGGAGAGGAACATTTTAAAAAAGGCTTGGAGTTGGTCACAGCTATTTTTCCTTCTTTCCCAGATCCTTTCTTGTGGAAGTAATTTGTTTGGTTTGGTTGGTTTACTTGTCTTATTTTATTAAGCCTTATATCTTCATCTGTAATAGAGGCATCCTTCATTACTCCCTTTGCCTTACAAAGACAAAATACCATGGATGTCACTGACTTCCCATAATTATAGCTGATGGCTTTATTATCCAGATTTTTCAGAAGCATGCTGGCAGAAGCATCACTGCCTGCCTGAGCTATTGATATCCCGGCATGCTGATTGTTAGAAATAGTTTATGTCTGGATGGGGGAAAAATCCTTGTGATAAAGGCACAGCCAACTGCTAGAAGTCATGGACAAGTTGTGCAGCAACCTAAATGATTTTTTCATATTGTACTTAATGCTTAGTCTGTACAGTTTGGGGTTTGGGGGTGGTTTTGTGTGGGTGATCTCTGGGATGTTTTTCTTAGGTAGAACATGGCTTAGGAAAGCGCAACCATGTTCTTAAGTGATGAAAGGGCACATGTAAAGTGAACAATGTGCTGACATACATATCAGAAGAAGGGTTGATCGTCTTGTAGAAGGAGACCGCTTTAATTTTATCCCCTCTCTCCCGAAACTGGTCCAGGCCCTGTTCTGTGCAGTGGCTCTGTGGGGCTGGGCAGGGTGGCATGGTGGAGAAAGCACTAACGTGGCACTCAGAAGAGCTGTGTGGCTTCTTCTCTTGGCTTTGTTACTGGCCTTCTGGATGGCATTGGGCAAGTCATTTCAATCTGTCAGCCTCAGTTTTCACCTCTAGCTTATGGGAGTACCAATGCTGACCACCTCTATAAGGAGTTTGGATGCTTCATCCCCAGGGAAGGTTGATTCTGGTCTCCCGTGTAGACAATAGCAGAGGACAGACATTTGACTCCTCAGATCCCTGCAGAAGAAGGTTTATTCTTCAGCTGTGGCCCGTGAAGAGCCTTTGGTTGTGAAGGGTAATGAGAAAGTCACTTCCAATTCCAAAAACATATATTTGAAATGTTTCCAGCGTATAGGATTTCTGCAAACTTTTAAGTACATGAGAAATTTGAAGAACCTGATTAATTACAGGATGTACTGACAAATGTTTATAAAGTCATTTTGTGCCTGAAGAATAGGTGTGAAACTGTGTGTGAAAGCACTGGTAATTTTGGAGAGGAGACAATGCATGGGGCTTTCTGCTTTGAATGTGGAACCGTGTGCGCTGCTTTCATTATACACGTTATTATATGTGAATCTTGTAAATACACTGATGAGAGTGATGGGAAGCTGCTTCATTATGTTGGAATGCTCACTCAAAATATTTTATTTCTTTCAGAGACTTGAAGATAGAAAATCTGTTGCTAGATGAAGACAACAATATCAAGCTTATTGGTATGAAACCAGTTTGGCAATTCCAGTAATTAAAATTGGTAGTTTTATAGAGAGAGTTTTTGAGGCTTCATAATCCTCCATGTGACAACTGCTAATGTTGCTGCAGAGAGGAGCTGAGAGAGTATAGATAGCAATCAAGCTGTTCCTGACAGCATCTTGTGAAAAAAATGTTCCAAATAATTCAGCTTTAACTTGGTATGGGAATAATCCTACATCTTTTAACCAACAGCTTTATATTCAAATCAGGAACTTCGTAAAGAATTAAAGAATTGACACCACAGAAGTAATTTATTATCTTGATAATTTCGTATTTACTAAGGGTTGGATTCTGCCCCCATATGCATATGCTTCCACTGAAGTCAGTGGGAGTTGCACACATTTTTAGCAGCTGGCAAAATTCGGTCCTATATTTATATTCGTTAAATTTGCTTCCAGCCCCCAGTACAAAATTGGTTTAGAGGGCTGTTAAAAAATAAAGAAGATCAACGGTAGAGTCTTGATTGTATTCGGGTATCAGTTGCACGCAGCGCGCGATTCATTCAAGTTGTGCAGACATTTTAGATTAATCATCAGTGGGTATAGTCTCTCACTGCCTTTGCATAACTCCCATTAATGTTAATGTGGGCATTGAAAAGAAAATACTCCCTTCATAAAATAAACCCCAAACATCTGTTTATATTTATCTCCGTGCCTACACTTTTGCCAACAGCAGTGGTTGCAGACTTAAAAACTCAGCTTTCTTTCTTCAGAAGGTTTCATGATCTGAAAAGTGATGAGAAACACTTAACGTTCAGGTCAAACGGACACTCACTGTAACGTATAAAGCACGTGCATCTCCAAATAAACAGAAGGAGGATGGTTAATGAAATCTGAAATATTCAAAATTTACTTAGGGAATTCAGTCTTTGGAAATATTACCACGACTTTTAGTCATTACTCTGTAGCAAATCAACCGACTCTGGGAAAATAATAGCAAAGAGAACTGCATTACCTCAGCTATGGGTCAAGAGGATACCGATATGTTACCATGAATCATTCATCAGTAATGATGGATACCACCCATTATCTTGATTTAGCAGATAAGTGAGACCAGATGGTTTGCAACAGTGCTATATGAACATCTGATAGATTTAAAGAATTTCTATAACTTTCCCGTTATTGGGTGTTTGATTACACAACAGTATGTGAACTTGACATCCAAACCGAGACCTAATCAGATGATACATGTACAATTAAAACTCGCATGCCAAAAAATGACTTCAGAACTGTTCCTGCAGTTTCATTTGCTTCGGTTGCATAGAAAGGTCTCCTCGCAGTGGGTGGTGTGGGAAGAATAGAGAAAAGAGACAGTTCGATCTTCCATGGCCTCGCTAGCGTTGAAATAAATTGTCCTCAGGTCTGCAGCCTGATGTTTTAAGCAAAGCAGATTGTACACAGTATGTATTTTAAAACAAAGCAATTAAATCCCACCGTCCAACTGGGGTATGTTATTGAAAAACAAAGGTTGCTTTATTAGTAATAATTTTGCTGTAAGTAAAACCAGATTTAATATCACAGTCAGCTCATGCCGTATCTCGCTAGCGACGCTGGTCATCTCTGGTTGTTCACCCTGAAGAAGCAGTGCCTCCGTTCTTCATGCTCTGTCTGCTGCGCTTGTGGGGAAAGCTGGAGCAGGGGCTGCAGAAATCCGCCTCAGGTCCCTGCGCAACCTCTCCTCACAAACACCTCTTTTCCAGGTGGTAGCAAAAGTAGTGCTTGAGGTGCCGCACAGCTTTCCATTGCCACCAGGGTTTCCCAGGACAAGGAAAATTTTCCAGCACCTGTCTGTGGCTGGTGGAATAGACCAGATAATTTACTCCTCTTCCTCCTCCCTGCCTGTTCCCTCACTCAGCTCGTTCAGCACTTAGTACAATATTTTATGTAGTCTGTCTTTCTAGAAATGTGATGGATCGGTTGTGTCATCACATAGTCCTGCCCAGGAAGGTTCTTCAGGAGTGAAGAACATGTTTTGAGGAATTATGTGCTGCTTTTCATGCTTGGGCGAAGAGACTTTAAGCTACAAAACCAGCTCACGTTAAGTGCTTTGGTGTGGGAGCTTCGTCTCCGTGTCTTGTGCAGCAGCAAAAACAATAGTACCTAATAAGAATGTTGCTCTTGTAATAACTGAAATGAAGAAAACCCACCATAAAGGAAAAAGAAAAGGTGAAATGAAGATTAAAAATGTACCAGGAAGTGATATTGAAAGTCCCTGTTTGTTCATGCATTTCAGTGGGAACTGAATCCCTTGAGTCCCTTTCTTCACCCAGCTGCTTAATGGCACCTTGCTTTTGTTACTCTTTTTAGCTACGTGACAAGGTGGTTTATAATATGTTCTTAGATAGTATTATTAGAAAAATTCCCTTTGCTGTGTTAGGTGGACTTATTCTTAGCTGCCTGTTAAGTCTCAAATCTAAGAACATCAGGATTGGAAACACTGGAAATAATTCACCTCTCTTCATCTAGCAGCCCATGGTGGTAGGTGTCTGATGAAGATGCCATGAAAAGCCACTCACGGGCCGTACGAAGTCCTTGGCGTCCTGCTCAGGGACCTATGGCACCAAAAGGACCCTGCCAATATGTAGCTCTGCTGAGCTCTGTGGAGCTCTGCTGGTCAAACTTGGCCACAAGCTTGGTGCTAAGGCTTCTGTTATTTAATAACTTTCCCTATTCCAACTGTCACAGCTTCAGAGATAGGCACATATCCATAGCTTAATGTTGATTTTCTGGAGGCGTTAGAGAGTAGTAGTGTAATGCGATACTTCGATAGTACGAACAGTGGGGGTGGTGGAGTTTCCGTGTCATAATATTTACTTTGGAAAACCAAGTGTGGCCTTTGATCTGAATTCTGGAATTAGCTCGGCTTATTGCAAGGAAGCCCAAGACAGAGGCAGGAATGGCAGTGAAGTTATCAACGCTGGTGGTAATACTGTTCTTATCAAGATCAGCAGCGCATCCTTAATAAAAATCACACTGCGGTCAGGATGGGCTGCCACAGTGTTAATAACAATATTCCCATTTCTTTTTCAATAAAATCCCTGTCCCCAATATGCATGTGTTTGTGCGCATTCTGCATTTCAACAGGCGCTAGGAAAAAAAGTATGCTAGCCTAGATTAAATGAATGAGCTGGAAAACGTAAGATGTTTATAGTTTAAGCAAATAAGATAATTAAAACCTCCACTAGAGTATACCTCCATTGATAATGATAAAAGGATGCTGATTTACACCATCGCAGAATGTAGTCCTTATATACTTTGATTGTAAAGCATTATATTACAGTCAAGTAATTTTGAGGTGGTATGACACAGTAGGGTAAAGACCATGACTAATACTGTGTGGAGATATTATTTCTAGGAGTTTTAAGAAGTATTTTACAGTTGACATAACTCATCTTGGGCCATAGCTAATAAATACGTTAATTAACTAAATGGATCCTCGGAAGTATAAGCCCCAGGGATAATACATATATAGCAGAGATGATTAAGCAGTGTCCAGAGACAGTTGTTTTCCGTCAGAGGCAAGGAAATTGTCCTGATCCTCCCTTCAGTTTTGACAATGTTCTCCAGCAAAAACCCTTTGAGCCTCTTTGGACGTTAAATATGGTGATTCTTGTCTCTCTTGTGCTTGTCTCGCTCTCAGAGATGCAGCCAGTCAAGTGGAAAGCACTGTGCAGTCATTTGGGCACTCCGGCTCACAGTCATCTTTATAATTGCATTTTTTTGTAAGCATTATTATTTTTTCTCCTGGTTTCGTAAGGGAACAAGGCTTATGTGACCGCCCTGTCAGAGCGCTTCTAATACCTTGAGGAACTCCTGTCTGATTTCAGCCAAATTTAACGTGGGATAAAAGCTAAAGGACAGGCCATTACTTCAAGTCTCATGCAAATAAGTAGGCAGATAAGGGAGGGAGACCCAAATTAATGACTCTGTGGAGAGAGAGTATTGCATGGGCTCAGCAGTTGCCTGCTATATTTGGCCTGCAAGATGTGATGCTTTTAGCCCATCCAGGCAGGTGGGTAGCACACCCAGAAATATGCTATTTTATGAAACACATGGATGCAAGAGACAAGTCTACAGGAAGAGGATTCAGTGGTCTGCTTCTCCTGACTGCCTCATATATGTATAAGACGGTTTTCATTTTAAACATGCATACATTCTGGGAGTTTTTAAGAAGACTGGATCAGAAGAAGAAAGGAACAAGACAGATGTCACTGTGCTTAATAGCAGTATTTTTGTTGCAGCTGTCATCAGTAACAAGTTATTAATAAATGGAAACATCTTTGCTTGTGACCTCCCTAGATCCGCTGCTCCTGGATATGTTGCCCTGCAGCAAAGGCCATTCTCCCTGCCTGTCAGCTTTGCCCACGTCATCATCACCCTTGCAAGCTTGTCTTGCTTCTTCCCCTTATCACATCAAGTTGTTTGACTTCGCTTTCAAGACCCTCTGCAACCTCTCCTCACCTTCCCATGTTGTCTCTCAGGCTGTGGTTTCGTAATTGCTTTCTCCCAAGCCAAGCATGGGCTCCCACTGGTCAGGGTGGGCTTGCATGTTGCCCCCAGCCGCTTCTGCCGCTGGTGTGACTCTGTCTTCCTTTTTTTCCTTGCTTAGTGGTTTAATTTTTAAGATCCTTTCTTAAACCCAGCTTACCCTGCAGCTATACCAGCACTGGAGCAGACGAGGGAGATAGCGGGAACACCCTTCTTGGTGCCAGCCTGGGCTTGGGTTGGCGGAGAGCACTTGGGAAAACGGCAGCCTCCATCGGTGCGGAGAGGCTGCCTCTCGTCTCCGGTCAGCTCACGGTGCCAGCCTTTGCCAGTCCCTTGTTATTATTGCCAGCAAAAGAGTGTCAGATACACCCAGGGGCCAGAAATACAATAATTCAAGGCAGAAGTCAGGGAGGGAGGAGCCAAATCAACACATTCCCCTTCTTGCTCCAAGATCTCCCTGTGTTATTTCAGAGCTGAAATGCTGACTCTGCAACCCTGTGCATTTGTGCATCGCCACAGTAGTCCCGGAAAGCAACCCCCTCCCTGCCTTACATCTGATGGCTCATTTACACGATTTAGAGGAAAATGTTGACGAAGTCCCACTTAAACTTGGCCTCTATGTAACATACTGCAGCAGTATGGAATCCACAACAGCCCGAGGTGGCTTTCTGCCCCGTGCACATCACGTAGTGCCTGGGACGAGCTCAACTCCGGTTGTTGACATCCAGTTCCCAGTGAAATGTATTTGCTTTGTGTATGAAATTGATGATTGTGCATGTTCTAAAACTTTTTTATTGTTTGTGCAAATCTCTGGTTATTTAGCACCTCAGAGAAACAAATTATATAAAATTTTTGCATGTGGATGATTTTTTTCTTAGGTAGTTCATTGCTTAGCTTTTGGAAGAAAGTGAGCTTTTTTTCCCTTGTGTTCTAGGGCGGTTTTACCGTATCTGTCTCTTTTATAACTCTATCTCTGCGCCTTTCACAGACTTTGGATTGAGCAACTGTGCAGGCATCTTGGGTTATTCTGATCCATTCAGCACCCAGTGTGGGAGCCCAGCATATGCAGCCCCTGAACTTCTGGCAAGGAAAAAATACGGGCCCAAAATAGACGTTTGGTCCATGTGAGTTACTTCTCTAGTTTATAATTGTTATTACTGTCGTTACCCATTGCTCGAATGAGAAACATTATTCATGTATTTGGCTACCCTGAGTAAGAAAATCTGTTTAGTTAGCATGACTCTCTGAACTAAATTGTACAGATATTTTGTTCTGAAATAGAACATAGATCTTTTACATACCTGTATATAGATTGCTAGAACGTATAGCATAGAGAGATTGCGGTAAAGCACAGCTGTTGATCAGTGATGGTCAGACATAGTAGAAGACATGGCTCTGGCACAAGAGGGCCAACAGCTTTTTTTGTTTTTCCCAAAGGATCCTCAAGCATTCACATGGGCTCCGTGCACTGTCCACAGTCAAGTCTGACAGGAAATGTGATATCGAGTCAGGTCATCACTTTAAAAGCACGGTTGTTAAAGGGGAAATAAAAATGGCCAGAAAACTTGTGAGCCTTTGTGAGCTTACTAGTGGTCAGGCAAAAGAACAGGCAGAGGTAGAGGAAGCTACAAAGATGTTTTGGAGTCAATGAATTTGGCTGCAGTACTGTTGTAGACCGTGCAACTCCCACTACCCTCCTGCTGGCCATGGACATAGCGTCCGTTATCCTTGTCAATCCTGGAGAGGAATTAGCTAAAATTAGTTGAGTTTTAGCTTTTGGTTTAGTATTGATAGATTTTCCCTCATGAAGTGGGGATAATAACATTTGTATAAATTTCAATGGAATAACAAGAGTTATTGTAATTCCCAAGTTGAAGTATTTAGAATGCTTGGAAAATGTAATGTACTGTATAAGTACTACTACTGCTAAGAAAGATAGGCCATAGTTTATATGAGACTAGGACCTGGCTCAAATTCATCTCTCAGTTTGACCCAGTGGGTCCCCTGTTGCACCTGAGGGCTCTTTAGAACTTCCTCTGCTGAAACCTAATTTGCAGTCTGTCCTCCAAGGAGACCCACAGCTTAATCATTGCATGACGACGGAATTTCTCACTCCAGCAGTGGGCTATCGGTCCACATCAAGGGTGAGCGTACCAGCCGTGAGGAACGCAGGCAAACAGAGCACAGTCATTCTTGTAAACCATTTAAACTTCTGCAGTAATAATGTCCTGCTCTTTTTGTTAATAAAAAAACAGAAAATATGGTTAACTCCTACCCTTCCTTATAGCCGAACAAATGGTGTCTGTGATCACGGTTCGTGATAGAACACCGGTTTAGTTTCTTTCTGTTCACATACATGTATTCAGCAGGCTGGGGAAACAAATTCCCAAACGGGAGGAGTTCCACTCAAATTGAATTTAAAGCCCTTTTAAGAGGAAAAAGAGCAAGAGTGCCCAACCCACTTTTCGTGGCTGACTTTGCTGGGCATAAATAAGCAGTAAGTTTTCTGCTCTGAAAAATGTAATTGTTCACACCTGATCTTTGGGTTGTACCAGAGGCTGTGGAGGTCAGTGGAAACCTTTGGGCACTGAACCAAGACCTGTGATGTCCCCGTTGGTGCGGGCAGTCATTCCACACCCAGGGCAGCACCGGGACAAGGCCCCTGAAAGCAGCCTGTTTATGCAGCCTGAGGAGAGACTTAATTGTGGCGTGGCATTTAGCCGAGGAATTGCCTAAGAGCTGGGCTGAGTTCTGTGGCTCCCAGCTTATGTCCTGCACATTGTGTAACCCTCCATGAGCAAACCTCTGGGAATTCTTGCCCAAATCATTGTGTGCAACAGAAGAGAACGCTTTTTTTTGCTCTTTTTTAATAGTTGTCAGACATTAAAGATGAAGTACAGTCACTAAAACTTAAGCCTATGTTTTTCCTTGTTCCTGATGATTTTGGTTTCTTTTTCTCTATGTTTTCTTTTAGTGGGGTGAACATGTATGCAATGTTGACTGGAACATTACCTTTTACCGTGGAGCCATTCAGCTTGAGAGCTTTATACCAGAAAATGGTGGACAAAGAAATGAACCCTTTTCCCACCCAGCTCTCTGCAGGTAATCAGGGGGGTGTGCTGGGACCTGTTCAGATCCAGTCGGTCAGAACCATTGCATTGAATTCTGGATTGTGAGTCATGCTGCCGACATGGCACGCTAACTGTGAAAAATACTTTTTTTCATTTTGACCTCCAAAAGATCTGCGGGAGTTGCTGTAGTAGAACTCCTTTTGCTTTGACTTCTGTATGTAAGCTGGAGAACTGCCAAGTTGTGCTGAATGTGAGAGGAACAAATCTGTGAAAATCTGTGAAATTGCTTCTGTAGAGTAGTTGGTCAGTTTTGCACGTTCAGAAGATTTTAGCTTAGGGTATGAATGCATGAACAAATTATTTTGGAATAATAAATTCCTGGGCATTGTCATGACTAGGGTTGAGTGATAAGCTACCTTGAATGACCTCACATTTATTATGGAATAATGGCATGCACACAGAAAGTTATTTTGGGACAGTGGCCTGTGATAACCTTTGTTTGATCACAAAATGCAAAATTGTGATGTATTAGTATTAGAAATATTAATTCCTGCACTGTCACTAGGCAACAGAATAATTTTTCAGCTTATAGCAAGACTGTTGTCAGCATTTGGAACAAACTCTGTTTTGTCGTTGGGTTTTATTTTTGTATGCTAAATTTGTTGTTCATGGAGAGCTTCTGTTCTCCTTATTTGGCAGCCTGTTTACAAGGGACATTCAATAAAGTTAAAAGATTGCAAATAGAAAAAGGGTAACAGAGCATACATTTTCTCTCAGTACGCTAAGGGTGGCGACCATTGTCATGGGGGAGAAGAGAAAGCCCTTGGAAGTTTTGTCACAAGATGAATTCTCCAAGTACAGATTTACCTGCATACGGAAGAAGTGGGTAGTTAAGGGTTATCAGCGGATCAAGCGGAGTATGTTGTTCCTTGTTCACTCAGCACCTGTATGAAGTACACTTTTCCTGCCAGCAGTTCATATTGCTGGCATGTTGTAAAGTGATAGGTTTACAAGTGAGCTGGGATGCTGCAAGTCTTGCCGTCTACTTGATGCAATTAGAGTGTTTGGTATTCCATTCTTGAGACTTCCCATTAGGATTCAGTTGCACAAAATGACTATTTTAATGTTCTAGCACACGCTCTAAAGTCCCACTGAGTAAATGAAAGGGAAGATTATACCAACTGCTTCATGCTGTACTAATCTAGATGCCAAATCCTGCATCAATTGCAAAGTTACTCTTGAGTTCAGGGACTTGCATGTCATAGTAAACATATTCCAAGTTTGGCAAAAAATTTATCAAACTTCCCTCCCAGAGTGAGGCTTTTACCAATAAAGAGCAGTTATATGTTGCATTCTAGCATCAAACTCTAGCATCCAGTTTGATCTGCTTTGTAACACAAGCATTTAAGGGGTTTGGTTTGCCTGCACTGAGCTGAAGTAGCTGTGTTGGCAAGGCTGTACTGCAGCTTACCCAGAAGACGCATCCCAGAGGACACCATCCCGTGCCACAGTGGTCCTGTGCTGCCGCTGCCCAGGGCACCTACACTAGTAAGGAGACGAGTAGACACGGCATGCTCACGAGGGCGTAGGAGGGGAACCACAGCTCTGCTGTGGGAGAAGGTGGAAAAAAGCCCCCAGGGTCCTGTCCATCTGACCTGGAGAAAACTATGCCGCAGCCATCGCTTCTGCCTCTTGCTTGCCATTGACTTCATTCGGGACTCATTTGGCATCGTCTCACTTGATTGTATCTCCTCTACAAAATCATTCCGATCTTGGTTCTCCCAGAATTAGGTTTCTTTATCTTTGTGCAGAGAATTGTAGAGGACGTAGTTAACTCTTCACTATCTTGTAGCTGATAAACTGAATCTAGCCTTGATAATTTGAGTAATAAAAACCAGACCTAATTAAAACAGAGTTTATTTTCAGCTCAGATACGCACTTCTTGTGAGTCTTTATGCAAATCACTTGATTTCATTGCTCCTAACCATGTAAGAAGCACACGACTTAAAAATATCAGAAAAGTACTTTGAGGGGTTTTGCAAGAGACTCCTGAAGGATGGTTGAATATCACTGAAAGTTGAAGGTTCAGTATCTGAAAACAGAACGAAGCCCATTAATTTTACTGTACTCTTTTAATTTGGCTAAAACCTCCTACAACTGATTGTAGCTTGGATGGAAGCCAGGAGAGAATTTGTCCTTATGATGTCAAAGAGAGTCCAATTCTCCATGTCTTCCCTCCCAGCTCTGCACCCCTCCCCTCCACTCACCCCCAGTCCATCTCCTTCTGCTTTAAACACAGATTGAGTGGTTTGCCTCTGACCTGACTCCAGCCTCTTGTCCTCAGACAAAAATTAAGTTTTGACTAACCTGCTCGGAAACTTCAAACAAGCTCTGAAACAAAAGGCACTTTTTCTCCTCTCCTTTTTGACTCTATAAATCATTGTGACTATAAATCATTGTTTATTTTACTTACTAATCCCTTATCAGGTTTTCCTTTTTCTCAAGGACATTAGGGCATACTGTAAGGAAAACATTCCTTTTTAGCATACTCTTGGTCAGGCTACACACCTGTAGTAACTCAACTACCATGTTAAGTCATAAAGCATATGACATAGCTGTTGTTTTTCTTGATTTCTTCACAGCGGCCATAAACTTTCTACGATCTCTACTAGAGCCAGATCCTGCAAAGAGACCAAACATCCAGCAGGCACTTGCAAATCGATGGCTTAATGAGAATTACCCTGGGAGAGCACCACCTAATGTCACATATCCAAACAGGTACTATGCAAAAGAGTGGAGAAAGCCTGCCAGGGTGTATATACATTAAAACGTAAATGACTCTGGCGTTGCAGTTTCATTCCTTGTGTGACAGCGTCCCTCTGCATTTTCTGGGATTGCTTTTGTGACTCTGTCCTAAAAGTTGTTAGGATTGGCCATTGAATACGTGTTGCTTAAAATGGTCAAAAACGATACCTTAAATTACAAGCTGGCATGTGATGCATTATTTGCAGGGTGGTCTGGGGTGCAGATCATATGATTAATTGGCTCCAGACCTTGGAATGGATAGGAGTGACAGGTAGTTCATCAGTTCTGATCTTCTCCTTGTTTGTTGGTAAAAGCCAAGCTACTTTTCCAGTAGAGGCTATGCTTGTTTGTGATACATATGTGAGGTTTTGTGGATTAGGTAAACATGCAAACCGTGGTGAGAAAGGTCAGAATTAAATGATCGTGCTTTGTTGGTTGTTGATCTTGAATACCTGTGCAATGCTGAATGCATGACTAAATGCAGAGAACAAATCTCATGGCCAGTCAAACATCCATCTAGGGAAAAAGAAAAAGGAAGATACTTGTGGTCCACTTCGGTTAGAAATAATCTTGCTTGACTTTAAACATCTGCAGTGTAGAGTTGACACATGAGCCAGCCAGCCTGGGCTCTCGTTACAGTCAATGGAGAGAAATAAGGGCACTTTTTACAGGATGATTCACCTGACTTTTTGATTCTGCAGTAGGATGACTTTGTGCCCAGAAGATCCAAGTTCCTCCGCAGTGACTGTAAATGGAGCCTCAGGCAACTCACTTAGAAATATATGTGTATATTTGAGCAGATAAAACCTCCTTCCTCTATCAAAGCCCTCCAGCTGTGTCTCATACACAATCTAGTACCTGCAGAGGATTCACTGTAGGAGTTACTAGCTTGCAGACCAAGATCCTAAGTTACACTGAGGCAAAGACAGCAACTTAAAGCCTAATTTTGGTGCGTAAAATTTGATAGTGCCCCAAAATTTCTGTCCTAACTTGCTAAGAGGAGTCCCTAAGTGAAGATCCTAACTTCCCCCCTACAGTTTACTCAGTTGCCAGACACCAGATGTAGCATATGCCTAGGGGCATGATGACTTACTTTTGTCTGAATGTCTGAACCAAAAATGATTTGGTGTTCACCAGCCAGGCCATCTTTTTGTGTCAGTGCCCTGAAGGACTTGGTCCCATAGGCACGCTCGAGCCATGCTTACAGCCAGCCTTCACCATTCAGCCCAGGTCACAGCTTTGCTGGTAAGAGTGCCTCCCACCCGTTTTCCCCTCTGCTCCACTGCTAGCCAGATGAACAGGGTATGTTATTTAAACTAGAGGTGCTGGGGAGGGGAACCTCAATCCATCCCACTCCTACCAGTTTGATGCCAGGGCCAGCAACAGATGCCCAGAGCCTGGAGAAGGATCACAGGTCAGCAGGAGAGCGCCTGAAGAACAGCCCATTATTGGCATCATGGAGATATGGTGGGATGGCTCCTATGATTGGAGTGTTGGGATGGAGGGATACAGGCTTTTTAGGAAGGACAGGCAGGGGAGATGAGGAGGGGGTGTTGCCCCCTGTGTCAATGACCAGCTGGAGTGCATGGAGCTCTGCCTGGGGATGGATGAGGAGCCAACTGAGAGCTTGTGGGTCAGGATTAAAGGGAAGGCAGGGATAGGTGACATTACAGTGGGGGTCTGCTACAGGCCACCCGACCAGGAAGACCAAGAGGATGAGGCCCTCTATGGACAGATAAGAGCAGCCTCACCCTCACAAGCCCTGGTCCTCATGGAGGACTTCAACCACCCCGACATCTGTTGGAGGGACAACACGGCAGGGCATAAGCAATCCAAGAGGTTCCTGGAAT